GTTTCAGTAAAATTTGATTCAGTGTCAACACAGAATTTCCCTCTTCTGACCCTTCTTACTACTTATATTTTTGGGAGGGTTTCTAGATGTTACTGTTGGAGTATGAAAGACCTCAGTTGTGAGATTTTTGTTAGAAAGGAAAAGTTTAATTCTTTATGCACTCATACCACACTTTAGCAGTCAGACTCCATCAAAGTTCCAAGCTGTGCACAGACAGCTTTTCCTGCCTTTAGACATTGTGTCAACACAATGAACTGAGACTGTTACCTGAGTGGGCAGTTTTCTTTTCTTTTCTTTTCTTTTTTAAAGATTTTATTTATTTATTTGACAGAGATCACAAGTAGGCAGAGAGGCAGGCAGAGAGAGAGAGGAAGGGAAGCAGGCTCCCTGCTGAGCAGAGAGCCCGATGTGAGACTCGATTCCAGGACCCTGGGATCCTGACCTGAGCTGAAGGCAGAGGCTTTAACCCACTGAGCCACCTAGGTGCCCCCTGAGTGGACAGTTTTCAATAGCAGCGATATCATCAGACACTTGGGAGATAGCTGTGCTGGACAGGAAAAAAAAAAATGAGTATATAGGAGGGTGTCTCTGGTCCTCAGATACACATTGACCAGTGTCACCATTGAAACCCACTTAAGATGCACCCTAAACATAGTCTCACAAACATACATAGGCATAACCAAACAGGCAAAGATAGGGAGACTCACTCTAAGACACACACCACACCTACATAGACCCAAAGATCTAGGGAGAAAGAAAAGAGGAGAGAGAGAATGAGGGAATGGAAATATAAGAACGGGTAGATTTCATCAACTTGAAAGGGCAGTTCAATGCTTCAATTTCATTGGAACTTACATGCATTGAACTGAATTCGTTGAAGAGGAGATCTCGGGAGGGTGACAGCGCCAGACCAAGGTGGCCAAAATTAATTTGGGAAAACAAAACAGCCCTTGTGGTTCAAAAGGAGAAATCTGGGAATCCCGAGTGAATTCCTATTTATCCAGGTAAGTTCACAGATCATCAATTCAATCTCCATGACCACAGAGACCATTAGGAGAAGTGATCCGATTTTTTAAAACTGTGAGCATTTCCAGAGCGAGCACATGTAGGACTTCCAGAGGTGCGCAGCACAGAGTAAGAGCCCAATAAATGTTGCTGCATGCATCCGGGCACCAGTACGGGATTGAAAGGTCTAAGCGAGTTATAGGTATTAAATCTGCGGAGAACTATAGGCAGATCCTGAAAATCCCAACTTTCAGGCATTATTATTGCACGGTATGAATTTAGCTTTTAAGGTGAGAACTTCTTCATGTAACTGTTAGCAAACTGACAGGAAGAACCATATTTCAGAAGAAAAAGAGATTTTTGTTTGCTGTGCCCTATACCTGGCACCGTGTGATCACGGCGCTATTCACAAGAAGTCCGGTAGCTCAGTCTCCCGCCTGCACAGCGGGGTGCGTTCCTGTGTTCTCCACCCCGGCTCCCACTCTCTCGGTGGCTTGGAGTGTGTGTGGTGAGGAGCTCTGTGCCGAATTTTCCGAATCCCCGACCGGCACTTCTGGCGAGAGCTGGGACCATGCCGCAGTAGGCGCGCGCGCGGGGAGCGCTCATCTCCGCTCCACTAGCGCCCATGGCGCTCCACCCACGCCGGAGGTGCGGGGCATGGCAGGGCTTGTGGCTCCCCCTTGGATGATCATCCGGCTTGGACCGGAGTGGAGGTGCAGGCGGACGCTCGTGGGATTGCTTGTCTGCGCGGTGAACAGAGGCCCCGCGGTCCTGTGGTCGTGTCGCCCGACCCGCGTGCACTTGCGCGAGGGAAGTGCGTGCGGAGTTCCCGTAGCGCTTCCCGTAGCGCATCTTCCCAGCCGAGAACAATTTCCCCGAGAGCTTTCGAAGGCTACCGGTGTCTCTTCCTTCCCGGAGAGAAGCATGCCCAGCCGCAAGAGCAGAGGGAGGCTGACAGCGCTACGGGAGAGGCAGGTACCAGGGTCATCTGAGGAGTTCTGGGACCTGGAGATCCCTTGATTGGCAGAAAGAGGCCCTTCTCAAGGCCCCGCTGGCTGTTTTGTTTTGTTTATGGGCTTCTGGGAGATCTCAATTTTACCGGCCCCCTCGCTCCGGAGACTAGGCTCTGTGCGTGGGTTTGGGCTTGGGGCTCCAAGTGCCCCCGCCACTCGGGCCCACGGTTAGCCTGCATTTGGCCAACGGTGGCCACTCAGAGTTGGAGATTCGCCGTGAGCCCTACGTGGTTCGCCCTTGTGGGGCCTGACCTAGCCCAGAGAGGCCAAAAGAGTTGGTGACAAAGTCCTCCGCCACGTCTCCGCCGCTCGGGTGAAGTACCCAGTGGCTCTCTCGACCCGGGAGCTCGTCCTTCGTTCTTCCTCTTTTTCAGGCTCATCTGGCCGGCAGGGCTGCGCTCTGTGCTGTCTCCTTGGGCCTCCGTGGAAGGCTGGCCTTTACTGACAACATCAGCTCACCTCTGCCACTGCCACCATCCTCACTCGACCGCGGATACTGGCAACGAGGCGCCAGGCTCCGTAATAAACACTTCAAAGACATCATCCCAAATTATCCCGTTTTGAGCCCATATTATGGAAGAGGAAACAGATCATTAAGTGATTAGCTCAAGAAGCCCTTAAATTTCCTGGATTGCATGCCGTGGGCGCAGGGACTTGAAAGCTGGAGCCCTTCTCCGTGGGAGGCTCCGCTCTGGCAGCAGGTCTCGGAGTCGCAGCTAAGCCGCGGAACTGCGCTCTCGGCGAAGCTTAGAGATCCGGAACCCGGTTCTGAGCAGTTGGAGACCACACGCCTGACCCGGAGTCAGCACCTGCGCGGACACCTGCGCCCTCGGTCCCCCAAGCCCGCCCCAGGCGACTCACACTTCTCTTTGGGTTGGCAAACTCTTCAGCCCGCGCGGAGAGGCCACCGCGCAGTCGGTGTTTGGGATGCGAGCCTCAGAGAGGGAGGCTGGTTTGTTCTGGAGCCCTGGCACAGTCCTTGGCCTCCGAAGACGAGTCTGCGCGCCTCCACCAATGGGGTGGCTGCGCTTCGGCCAGCCCTCCCCACCCAGCATCAGCTTCCCTTGTGTAAAAGGAGGATAGTTTCACTTACCTAGGGATGGTTGCTGTGGGAAATCAGAAAAGTTTATTTATGAGGAAGTCAAAAAACTAGGAAGTGTTAAGGCTCACTGGTTGTATGAACAAGTCACATTAACAGCGACAGCGTGGGGATTTGTCAAAGGAGAGGGGCTTTAGGGCTGGCAGGAGACCCAGTGGAATCTCTGCAGCAGCCACTCCTGGCTTGGTTCGGAAAGGAATGATGGTCATAAAACAATGTGGAAGGATGACTATTTCTAGATAGTGAATTAAACACTTTACAAGCAGGGCACCTGGGAGGCTCAGTCACTAAGCGTCTGCCTTTGGCTCAGGTCATGATCCCAGGGTCCTGGGATCCAGCCCTGCATCAGACTCCCTGCTCCGCAGGGAGCCTGCTTTTCCCTCTCCCACTCCCTCTGCTTGTGTTCCCTCTCTCACTGTGTGTCTCTGTCAAATAAATAAACAAAATCTTAAAAAAAAACAACTCAACACTTTACATGTGTTCTTCGGTTTCAATCTCACAACTCTGTGATGTAGTATTTACTTCCACTTTGCAGATAGGGAAATTGAGGCACAGGAATTTGAATAATTTTTATCAAGGTCACCGGTTGGTATTTGAGGGACACAGATGTGAAGGCAGATTTGCTTGACTCCAGAGCCCAGTGGCAAAACTGCAGGGCAAGGTCATCGTCTCCCCAGTGAGGTATCTCATTGATGAGAAAGTCCCCCTTTCTGGTCGATGGGGCTTCCTTTACTTGGGTGGGGCATTAGGACTCAGTTTCTTTCTCTCAAGAAACAGAAACAGCAAAACAAAAGCAAAACCAACGACAAAACAAGAACAAGCCCTGCCATCTCTTTGCAAAGACAGTAACAGTGACCGCTGGGAGTGAGGCAATGGCCCGCAAGGGTGGGAGCGCTCAAGTGGCGCCTTTCCGCGCAGCAGAGGGAGGAGCAGGGGGCCCCAAAGATCAGAAGCCAACTAAATTGGGGCCTCTTTGCCCCTAATACAAAACACTGCTGGCCTCTGGGCTCCCGGGGTGGAGACTCTTCTGAGGCAAATTGCCCCCTCTTCCCTGGTTAGTACCAAGCAAATAAATGCTGCTTTAATAAAAAAAGAAGGAAGAAGAAGGAGGAGGAGGAGGAGGAGGAGGAGGAAGAGGACGACGACGACGACGAGGAGGAGGAGGAGGAGAAGAAGAAGAAAAAGAAAGAAAGAAAGAAAGAAAGAAAGAAAGAAAGAAAGAAAGAAATGGAATCATTGCGTGGCAAGAAAATCTGATACAAAGTGAGGGAAATCAGTTTGCATTTCTTTTCCATGTCATCCATATTTATTAATTGTTTTCCACAAACATCAGCTGAACACAAGGCCCGGACCCTGAAACAAGCAACTGACGTGGAAATTACAGACCTGGTTGTAAAGAACTCTCAGGTAGTTTTATAACTTTAAATAAAAATAACCAGCTTTCAAACTCCCCAACCACGTACATGTTCACCATTTCTAAAGGTGTAGGAATCATACCGTCTCTGTGAGTAGTTCCCAAGGTGGGTCAGGCCATGCTGCTCGCCTTTCATACAGCCTGTCCTGTCCTGAGACTAGCAACTAAATCCACATCCTAAAAAGAAAGCTCCAAATAGCTTCAGTTTAGTGATGGCTGGGTGTGTGTGGGGTATCTTTCCCCCCCAAATCCCTTGCTCTAGACTCATCTCCTAAGTGCCCTCTGGATGTACAGGGACTCTGGCAAGGCCTTTATATTCCAGCTCTGCTGTTGCCCAAGCCACCCTGGCAAGATGTCCTCTTCTTTGGAGGAAAGAGATGCAGACAGAAGGAGGTGAGCTGGTGAAGTATGAGGCTACGCTAAAAAGAATTTTTAAAAAGGAAAAGGAAGACAAAGGGAGGAGGAAGTGGAGGAGGAATTACTCTATTTCATGGGCATCGATTTCACTAGGTCTTTGAAACCTTAGAAGTTTCCTTTCAATTATTTCTAAGCTTTAAGGCGGAAGCCTGAGTAAAATTGGCTCTGTTTCAGGACAGATTAAGACCCCCCCATCTAGCCCGCTTGCAGTGTGTTGGGGAGCATTCCAGCTTGAGGTCTTTTGAAGAGCTGGCTTCTCTAAAGAGGTCCATGGTTCTGGAGTGCTAGGACCTGCACAGCAGCAGCAACAGATGTCGCCAGTCCAACAATATCACCGGAAGAGGCCCCAGATATTACAGAAAACCTTTCTTCTCCTTCCAGAAGGTCTGCCAGTGTCTCCCCAAGGCGCCCCAATTGGCACAGGCGCCTGAGAACTCGAGTTCTCCCCTTCCATCCGGGTTGGCCAAGGCAGTTCCTGGCTCCTTGAACAGCCAGGGGGCTAGGGCTGGTTGTCCACACCCAGGGTCCGACCACTGCTCCCCCTCTTTCCCAGTGGTTGAAGCCGCCTGGCCAGGAGGAGCCCCCATCTCTCATCGGGGTTCCTGAGGTCGCAGGGGCGCGACACTGGAGGGCTGTGGTGACGTGCTAAGGCCAGGCGGCAGGCGTCCTTCTCGGGTGGCGGCGGGGACAGCGGGCGGCACAGCACCACCGGGGGGCAGCGACGGTGGCAGCGCCAGCAGCTCCTCACCGGAGGTCACTGCACAGTCCTGCTCCGGGTCAGCATCTGTGCCACCCCCAGCCGCTGGCCCGCAGCTACGCTTCTTGTCCTCCTCCTTTTTCCATTTCATGCGGCGGTTTTGGAACCAGATCTTGATGTGTCTCTCGGTCAAGTTCAGCATGACGGCCAGCTCCACCCTGCGGGGCCTCGAGATGTATTTATTGAACAGGAACTCCTTCTCCAGCTCCAGCAGCTGCGCACGCGTGTAGGCAGTACGTGTCCGTTTGTTTTCTTCTGGCTCTGCAACATAGGCGCCGCCTGTGGGCGACAGGGCACATGAGTGTGGTCCCTGGACCCCTGGCCCCTCCTGCCCCAACCCCGAAGACGAACACTTTAGCCCCAATCCTGGGAGCGCTGGTCCTCCCAGGTACTCCTACCACCCAGAGCAACCTCCTATCCCAGAGCTCAGCCTGGGCTCCTGCAGCCCTTCTCTAGTAAAGGTTGCCTATTTTTTCTTTCCTTTCCTTTCTTGTTTTTTTTTTTTCTCTTTTCTTAAGATTTTATTTATTTATTTGACAAAGGGAGAGCACAAGCAGGGGGAGCGTAAGAGAGAGAGGGAGAAGCTGGTTCCCCACCAAGCAGAGAGCCCGACTAAGGGCTCCATTTGAGGACCTTGGGATCATGACCTGAGCTGAAGGCAAACATATAACCATCTGAGCCACCCAGGGGCCCAAGGTCGCCTTTTCTTGGAGGTCAAAGCTGTGCGTGCCCTCAGGCTCTCTCTGTGAGTAAGTCCTGGGCTCTGTCAACCAGTGACTTTTCAGTGGGTTCTCCTAGCCAGTGTTTAGGTTGATGGTGATTTAAATGCACACACAATAGATATCTAAACCTACTGGATTGTACAAAGGCAACAAACGCATTTAATGTAAGAATTTTTAAAACCACAGCTTTCTAATGATGACCCACAGTAAGAATACATTTCAAATCACTACCTGGTTCGCACACTGACATAGAACTGACACAAAAAAAATTCAGGACATACACAACTGATAAATTATTGAACACTAAAAAAAATTTCTGGACATAAAACCAACCTTTACCACATATTATACTATCTAATAGTAAACTATTGTTTACTATTATTAATATATATATAAATAGTACATAGTAATATATATAGTACATAGTATATAGCAAATATATAAAAATATATTAATAGTAAGTTACTGTTTACTATTAATATTTAGATATATTTGCTATATACTATGTACTATATATTCACTATTTACTATTAATATATCTTAATAATAGTAAATAATAGTTTACTATTAATATATTTTTAATAGGGGCTCCTGGGTGGCTCAGTGGGTTAAAGCCTCTGCCTTCAGCTCAGGTCATGATTCCAGGGTCCTGGGATCCAGCCCCGCATCAGGCTCTCTGCTCAGCAGGGAGCCTGTTTCCCTTCCTCTCTCTCTGCCTGCCTCTCTGCCTACTTGTGATCTCTGTCTGTCAAATAAATAAATAAAATCTTTAAAAAATATATATATTTTAAATATATTATCATTAATATATATTTATATATTAAAATTTATGTATTTGGTATAAACTATTGTTTACTATTAATAGATGTATTAATAGTAAATAGTAAATATATATAGTAAATACTAAATATATAAAAATATTTTTATAAACTATTTTTACTATTTTGTTTTCTAAAAATATCTTGGCCCATATAACTGATTTCACGATCAACTTATAAGTGCAACCCTCACTGTGAAAAACCTTGAGCTAATAAGAACGCTGAGCTTATGACATATATTGTCACATCTAACCATGCGTTATCTCTCTCTATATATTGTCATAATCATCCCCAACTCAAGAGCTGGTAAATTCTCTATAATTGTTTTCATCTCCGCTGGATCTCTGCCCTGGAGAAGAACGAAAACGATTCTGCGCCCTGAGGAATGACCCTGTCAGCCCTGACATCTGCGTCCTGAGCTCCAAATGCTGAAAAGGTGAGCGGGGAGCCTCAGGGGTCGGGTTCCCACTGGCAACCAAGAGCTCTATGGAGGACGGGGTAGTGGTAGTCAAAGGCTCAGGCATTCCAGCTCCATACTCGGGTGGCAAGGAAGAAACCACTGGCCCGGCAAATTACCCAAATTACCGCTGCACACCTGCTGTTTGCCGCTGTGCTCCAGGCCTTGAGCTTTTTTGCTTTTTCTACTTGGTACCGACTGCACCCTGCGGTCGAGTTAAGTTCTAACATTCTAGGAAGATGTCTAAATCTGCTTGTCTTAGGACAGAGTCTGGGATATTTCTCTTGTGACTGTTAGGAAGATTTAGGGAATTGAAAAGCTAGTACAGGTGTGTTTGGGTGGGAGGGTTTCCCCCCAGGCCAAAAGGAGGTGCCCAGAACCCAAGGCTGAGGCTTGGGTGGGAGTCAGCAGAAGAGTCCTGGGGAGCATCTCCAGAGGCTTACACTTCTAAGCTTTTCTGGGCACGGGAGAGAAGCAAGGGAGCCTTATAGGAAAGTTAAAAAGGCCCTCCGAGATTCTTAAATTCAATCCACAATCTCTAGGGGCTCTAGCCCTCTTCTGCTGGGGTCATGGAGGTGCTGTGAGCCACTGGGACAGGGTCCACTACCTCAGGAGACCTCTGCTCAGGACAAGTTGGCAGGGGATGGAGGCTGTTGGTGGTGGTATGGAGAAGATGTCAGGAGTCCCCACGTTTGCGCCCTTCGGTAAGGCGCAGGGTGACGCTGGTTTAGGGACAAACCCGCTAGCGAGGCTTATGCGGTTCATTTTTTAGGTCGACGTTTTCAAAAGTTCCTATAGTTTTGTTGTTAGTATTCATATCTTTACTACAAATGGAAGCCCTTTGATCACGTTACTCTCCTCAGGGGTTTGAAACCCCACTAGGAGTGGGCAGGCACGTTCATGACGCTTGAAGCTCTGCTCGTTCCAGAGTTTTCCGGGAGGACCTCTAGGCCACAGGAGCACCCGACAGGCAGCGTCCAGGAAAGGGGGTTGGCCCCTTCCCCCTAGGCTGCACTTGTAGCAGGTCAGAGGGTTCTAGTAAAGGCCTCTCCTTTGACTCTGCAACCTGAGGTCAGCCTTTCGAGGTTCCCCCCATTCCGGGGCAAGGTCGCCAATTTTCCATCGGATTTTACAGTCTGGCTCCTTAGGTGTGCCCGAGCCCAAGCTCCACCAGAGCACGGTAGGGTGGGGAAGTTACCCGGCTTCAGAATGTTTCAGGTGGGGCCTCCCTAGGAGGGCCGGGAATGCCGGAAATGCGCGTCCCCAGCCCCCACCCTGGGTGGAGGGACCTGGTTCTCCCGCCTCCCAAGAATCCCGCATTTCCCAAGACTCCCCAGCCTCCGGCGGCTGCCGCGCGCGCGCGGCGTAAGTACGCAGAGGCGCCGGGCAGCGTCGGGTGCCCCTTTTCCCCGGGCTGCGCCCTACGTGGAGATGACTGCAGCCGAATTTGGCCCGGTCCTGACTCCACACCCGGCCTTTGCGAGAAAGTGAACTAGGGGGAGAGGCGAGCCCCGGGGACCCTGGGCGAGCCCGGACCCCACAAGGCTCGCCGGGCTGCACCGGGGGCAGACGGGACTCTGGGGTGGGGGGCGCGCCCCCTCCTGAGCCTCTTTCTCCTACCCCCCGACTACTGGAAGGAAGAGAAAAGTCAGCTACGCGCCATGCAGGTGTGACCACAAGTGGCCGCGGCACGTAAGCGATAACATTGTGTAGCGGTCGGAACCCGCGGCCAGCTCGCGGCGGGGAAGGGGCCTGGGGGTCGCTCCCCGCCTCAGCCTCCGGGCTCCCGGGACGACCTTCGGTGACACGCCGGCGCCTAGGGCCACGGGGATCCAGTGCTCACGCCTCTCTGAACCGGCTGTGCATGGAGGGCATCTCCTTCCTCAAACTTACTTGCTGGGAAGCAGCGTGGGGGAGACCCCTTGGAACGTTTCCGTGTGTTCAGAAGTGAACTAGCATCGCAGACGCCTCTCACAGCGGCTCGTCTCCCAGGCTGAGCAGCCAGGTCTCGGTTTTGCGGTGAGTACCCCCCCCCCCGCCCCCGCACCTCCGGCCTCCCAACCCCGGGCTGCCGAACGCCTTTGCAAACTTGGCTGCAGTTTGTCTTCCCTGCCTTTCTGCATCCACGGGGTGCCTCCGAGACTGCCTGCACTCCTGTAATGAAGCCACCCAGGGCCAGAGGGGGCCCAGGATTCTAAAGGCGCGCCCAGGCCCGGGTCGGAAGCATCCCAGAGCCCTGCTCGGCTTCTCTGACGCTCACTCTGCGGAGTCCTGGCCAGGCGCATCCCCCAGGGGAGGAGGATCCAGAGGGTCTGAAGCCGGGAGCTCTACCAGGCTTTAGCTTTCTGCGGGTGCGCAGCTGTTGAAGTTCAGTGTACAGGGAAAGAAGGGTTTAAGTTTACAGGGGGAGAGCTGAGTGGAAAGGACGCTCCAAATGAGACCAGAAAGGCACTTTTGTAGGATGGCCTAGTTGGCTCCCTATGTAGTTTAGTCTGATCCAGGGTGCTCCATAGGGGCTGGGAACACGAACGGGTGGAGGGTCCTGGGGAGGTTTGGAGGTAGGGGCAGCCCGTTGGAGAGCGGGTATGGACAAAGGGGGTGGTGAGCCAGGCTTACCTGCCCACTGGCCTTTCCACGCGTGAGCCTTGGTGGACTTCATCCACGGGAAAGGCAGCTGGACGCGGCTGGGCTCCTCCAGGGCTCCTGGCTCAGCTCCGTCCGGGAAGGGCCCGGCGGGCTGGTGGGGGAGCGTGAGCTGAGCTGGGAGGTGGTGGAGGTGCGCCACCGCGGAGTCGTCGGCGAGGGGAGGCACCTCGTATGGGGAGATGTCGGGTGGGCTGCCCTGCTCCAGAGCGCCCAGGGTCCCCGGGAACGGGGGCGGCGGCGGCGGGGGCTGGCGGCCCATGTACAGGCACGCTGGGGGACTGGCGCTGAACTCTGGCGCGGGGCCCCGCTGGAACGCGCACGGGTCCTTGTAAAGCTGCGTAGCTGCGTAGTACTGCTCCTCGCTGTTCATGGCTGCCTCCGGGTCTTGGACTCCAGCAGTGGGGAGCTGGAGCCGGGGAGTTGAAGCTGCGCAGCTCTCCCACTCTCCGCGCCACACTTGCTCGCTTTGACAGCTCCGCTCTGCTCGGCGAGGGAACCCGCCACCGGCGGGGACTGTCGGGCCGGCCGCCGCGCCATAGGCTCCGCTGTGCCCCACGTGGCTCAGCCTGGGGCCATTATTGGCCTGGCCGACTGCCTTAAGAAGCAAGGCCCAGGTACCCAAGATTACCTGCATTTGTTTCAATTTTCTATCTCAGCTGAGTTTACCGCACGCACCTGTATGCGCAGCTGGCAGGGCTGTGTAAAGTGGAACACCCCTGAAAATATGAAGATTTACATTCAGTTATAGAAATATATTCTCATCATACTTTGATCTATTTTCCTTGTTCGATAATGTACATAATACATTAGTTTATTAATATAATTTATAAATATGCTTATGCCAAGGTTGTGTATTTAAATTTCTCTTTAACTGTTAGGGAATACGGTCAAAAAAGTTTACAGACCCGACCTCTATAGGTCCGAAGCAGCTGATCTTATTTTATTTATGAAATTTGTACACAATCACAGTGATGTCAGTGAGGTAACTACATAAAGATTCAGCATGTTGCATTTTTTAAAATCTGTGGCTGCTCGGGGGACTTCTGGAGTGTAAACTGTAATTTCAGAATCGTTCACAGTGGCTTTTTAAATTTTTTTTAATCTGAAGGACATTTTAATTTTGATTGTGGGAAATTGGGGTTCATTTGGCCAACTCAGTGCAGTTTCCTAATGTGGCGGCTGTGGTGCGGGGAGAAGTAGCGTCACCTCTTGTGGCTGGGAGGAGGGGACGGGTTGGCATGGGGTTTCCAGATCCGTAATGGCTTTCCAGGGATCCTGACACCCAGCCGGTATCTGTCAGCTGGAGAACCCGTACGCCAGCGTCGTACTGAAATAAGGCAGGTCCGAGAGAGGAGGGAAATGTTTAGAAAAGAATTAAAAACGCTGCGTTTTTCTGACAGCGTCAATCTGGGGCTTCCACTGGTTCGGTAACTTCTGGGTGTTCTGGGGCCCTCATTTAAATAGGACGATTAAATAGGACCAGACGATTCGGACAGACTATCTCCGGGTCGCGGTGGCACCCAAGCCCTGGCCTGGGCATGACCAACGCAGCCGACCCGTTTGCCCAGGGCGTTCTGAATGGCCTTGGACCAGGTCCTGCCAAAAGGACCACATTCCTCAAACCAACATGGAGGGTTTTAGGAAAACTGGACACATTTGCAGATAAGCCTTGGCAAGAGGGATGTGAACCACCAGGAATCATTAAGGGGAAATCACCGCAATCTGGCTTTGCCAAACCATAGACTACATCCAGCCCTTCACGAGGAAGATTTTAATATATTTTTTCCTTGTGGAAATATGGGATATTAAATGCATACGGTTTGAGTGCGCTACTCTGAAATACTCTTTTTTATTAAAAACCAAAAACCAGTTGGGAATTTGGACTTCTCCGCAGATTCCTTGCCTTGTGCGACGCAGGTGCGGTCTCAGCATTTGCGTTTAGAAGAGGGCTAAGCACCCAGTGGCCCGCTCCTGGGTGGCGACGTGCGCAGTCCCGGCCGTTTTGGTGCCCGCGCTCGCGACTGAGGGAAGCCGGTTAGGTGTGGGGAGTTCCGGCGATTTCTTCAGGGAAAAGGGCCACCTGCGGCCCTAGGGGCCGGGGAGAAAAATGCGGTGGGACGCGCGTACTTAATCTCTGAGCGTCCGCGTCAATGAATGCATTGTTGGCGGCGGCCGCGGAGAACCAGACGCTATCGCCGGGCCGCGAGTGACCGCATCGATCAGCAGGCAGGGCCGGAGGGGGGTTGCCCGGCCGCAGCGTGTTGACCCTCGGAGATAATCTGCCAAGTCGCCACGGGTTGACTTGGAGACGCGGTTATGACCGGGCGGCGAGCTCCGCTTGGGACAAAGATCGGCCACCTTCCTCCCCCCTACTCTTCCCTTCTTCCCCTCCCCCCTCGGCAACTCCGGACTCAGTCCGCAGACTGCTCCCCTCCTCCCTCGCTCCCCGCCTCCCCGCCACCCCCGACCCAGAGTGTTTATTTTGCACTTCTCGTCTAATTGCACATTTCTGTAAATTGGTCTCCATTTCGATGCTTCATTTGATCGCATTTAATATTTTTGCTCGGCCCTGCAGAAAGAAAAGAGGCGCTCAGCAGAAAGCAAATCCGCCTACCGCGCTCTCTGGTAAAAAAAAGAAAAAAAAAAACCACCACCAACAAAAAAAAAACAAACCCGGAGCCCGGGACTGAACAAAAACGTGGGGGAAGGGGCGGGGGTGCAGAAGGTGTTCCGTGGAGGTGCGTTCTCACTTTCACAATTAGCATTGTCTGCTGCTCACTACCTAAGCAAGTGACCCAGGAAACGAGTCAAACAGCCATTGATTATGGTGGGACAAAGCCAACAGGGTTTTTGGATTGGCTAATTATAACGTATAGCCGTAGAAAACGCACCCCGCACAACCTTCCATTGAGCAAGAGCGTGTATTGTATTTCTGCTGTGGATATAGCTCGTGGTATCATAAAATCGCCAAATCCATTACAGGTGAAATGCGTTTCCGCTCTGAATCCTCGCTGACGCCTGCGCCCCTCTCGCCTCCCACAGGCCCAGGAGCGATACTGAGCCATTAGGCGAGCGCCTTCCCGAGCCATTTAACAGCAGCTCTTATGGATAAATAAACAAAAAAGGCTGTAAACCAATTATAGTGTGGACAGTGAAAAAGTCGTTTATTAGCAGGACGTCCTGATAGCCCTCGCAGATACTGGAGGTCCTCGCTTGCCCTCTTCCCCCTTTCCCTTCTGGAGACACAGTTTGCGCCCCCAGAGAACACAGGTTACCTTGTTCTTGGTCAGTAGCTGAGTCTTCCAAGCATGCCAAGGGCTGAATTTGACTTGGTGGTAGGAATTTTTAAGCCACTGTATTCCACTCCAAGGGGGGAAAAATAATAGATGAACCTCACTTAACTCGAAAGATATGTTTATAATGACTTTGTGTGGAATTTATTAGACCATATTTGTTTTTATAATTAACTTGCTGTTAAGAATAAAAGTTACACTATATCCTGAGTGGGAACGCTAAAGCAAACAATGTGCTGTATGTAATGAGAATACTCTTCCGTAGTTAACTTTGAATTTTTGTACACGAGTCTTCCTTTTTTTTTTTTTTAAAGATTTTACTTATTTATTTGACAGAGATCACAGGTAGGCAGAGAGGCAATGGGGGGTGGGGGGTGGGAAGCAGGCTCCCCACTGAGCAGAGAGCCTGACTCAGGGCTCAATCCCAAGACCCTGAGATCATGACCTGTGCCAAAGGCAGAGGCTTAACCCACTGAGCCACCGGGCACCCTGAGCCTTTCCTTCAATGGGCACTTATGCTGTTTTTTATTCACCCGGGTTAATCCTTCCCTCCTTTGCCTCCAGGATTTCCTGAGTCTGGGACCTAGGTCTGAGAGAGCCAAGGGTAACGTTCAGAAAAAAACTCCAAGGGTGTCTGGGTGGCTCAATGGGTTAAAGGCTCTACCTTCGGCTCTGGTCATGATCCCAGGGTTCCGGGATGGAGCCCTGTGCCTGGCTCTCTGGTCATCGGGGAGCCTGCTTCCTTCCCTGTCTCTGTGCCTACTTGTGATCTTGCCGTACTGCTCAGTGCTTTCTCACAGTAGTAGGACTGGCAGACACCAGCTCTTTCCACCCGTTTTTGTTTACTCCTGAGGCCCTTAGTTTAGTTTACAGCTGAAAGGAAAAGTGTGAAAGGAAGTTGGCATTCCAAAGCGTCTAGGACCCCCTGCTTGCTCTTCTCCTGGCATCCCCATGGCTGCCCTCGCAGTTCCCATCCCTTTGGCTGGCTTTCCCAGGTTCCCATCTCTGCCCTATCATCCAAATGTGCATTCTCCCCAAAACCTGCAGTCCTGGCCATTCTTTTCTCTTCTTCATCCTGGATACCAGCTTCTTGCTTCCTCTGAAATTCCTCCCCACCCCTTTTTTTCCCCTCTACCCTCCCTTCCTATCACCGACTGTTTCCTATGACTAACCCTTTGTTCTCCTGGGAAACTCTCCTTATTTCCAGGAACCCAAAGGACGCTTGACTCACCTTTCCTGGCCATTCCAGCTGCCTTCCTGAACCATCCCACATTTCACATGGTTTATTAGTTGTCAGGCCAAATATTTTCAGTAATATTTACTGTAATCAGTAAATGCTGCTGGATGGCCCTGTATATGTGCATGTCCGCAATCTCTTGGAGTGACAGAAACTCAGTAGAAGAAATGTGTTCTGGCTTTGGTGTAACACGGGAAACTCTTAGGAGCTGCATATACCCATCTTCCAAATCTAACCCTGCCCCGCACAAGCTGTGTGTCCCTGGCAAGTTATATACCTCCGCTTAGCCTCTCTGTCCTTATTTGTAAAATGGAAACAATATACTGCCCCATAAAGTACACCCACTGTAGATAGTAATAACAGCAGCAAACACGGGGAGCCACGCACAGGCACATTTGCTAATCCTCACTAAAATCCCATGAGGTAGGTCCTATTATTCCTATTTTGCTGTGCAGTACACTGAGGCATTAAGACATTAGGTAACTTGCCCAGAATCGCACAGCCTAGATCCAGGCTGAGGAGATCTGGCTTTAGATGTGACCCTATACTGTCTTGCTATGTAGTAGACAATGAAGAAATATTTTTTTTATTATTTTTGTGAAAATTAGACAAAATGTCTAAAGTCCCTGGCTCTGCACAGGCACTGAAAAAACGGTCAAGTCTTCCTTTTTCCCCCCTAGCGTTGCTTTTAATGCATCCATAAGTATCTAACTATGGATCATTAATGCAGCCAAAAGAATGGCAGAACTATTAGCACAAGTCCATGTTTAAGGGCATTGCCAGGCAGGTAGACCTAGAAAGGTATATTCAGAAACACCCTGTCTTTTAAGGGAATGGGCCCCAAAGTGGGGCTCTGCTTTAAGTGGGTAGAGGAGGTGGGGAGCATTGGATGGCACTTGCTCCTGCCAGCCCTCCACGTATACCCAGAGAGA